TCAAAACTAAGTAAATCCTCAGAACATCCTCATGAAAACTTTTCAACCTGCCTCTGATTTCATTGCAGAGCTTCTACTTCCTGGTTCTGTTGCTCTGAAAGAAAAAAACTACAACCCAGGTGACCTGTGAGAGCACCTGCATACAGCAACTCTGACGGAGCGTGGTTTGGTCACGGGAAGCTGAAAGTGGAGGAGCAGTTTTGTGGCATAATCTGGACTGTGAGTGGACTGAGACGGCTAGTAGTAGTAGAGGATATTCAGATGATGATGGTATGGAAACAAGTTGGTCTGTGGTAGAAAATAAGAAAGGGGGAGGAGGGAAGGATAAGGGTAAAAAAGGGATAAACACAGGCAAAAGATCTTTGAAGATGAGGAGGAAAACTTCGAGACACGAAAGAAAATAAAGATGGAGGAATTTAAAGTAATTTTGAAGTTCAGAACTGGAAAGGACTTGATTGGAGTGAGTCCAATCACGCTATCTAATGGTTTAAAGAAAGTAATTGGGGATGTGGAATTAGCTAAGGTTTTAAGAGATGGAAGCCTGTTGATTATTTGTAGGAATGCTGAACAAAAGAATAAAGCACTAAAAATACAATCGATTTGTAAAAGAGAAGTAATGGAGAGGAAAATAATGGGAGAGGAAAGAGGAATAAAAGGGTGATATCAGAAATTCCTATAGGAGAAAACTTGGACGAGTTAAAGAAAGTAATAAAAGGAGGGGAGGTTTTAGGTATCAAACGACTACAGGCCTTTAGAAATGGGGAGAGAGTGGATAGCACTTCTGTGCTATTAGAGGTTAAAGATAAACCAGATAAAATAATGATTGGATACTTGAGTTTCAGTGTAAGAAATTATATTCCTCCACCTATTAGATGCTACAAGTGTCAGAGATACGGACATACAGCAAACGTATGTAATGGAAAGCAAAGATGTGGTAGGTGTGGAGGAGAACATTCTTATGGGGAGTGTGGAGAGAATCCTATAAAATGTTGCAACTGTGGAGGAGATCATACTGCAGCATATGCAGGATGTATGGTGAGGAAAGAGGCAGCAGAAATTCAAAAACTGAAAACAGAGAAGAGAATGTCGTCTGCGTGAGCAGTAAAGGAGATGAAAAGTGCAGGGATAAGTCAGAGAGCAAAAGTAGAAAAGAAGAATGTGGTAGATAAAGATCAAAATACTGTCACACTAGAAAAACTGATCACGTTCTTGGCTTATATTATAAATTGTTCAGAACAAGCGAGGACTAAGACTGAAAAAATAAAAATCATAGTGAAAGCAGCAGCAAGATTCTTTAGTGTTACAGACTTATCATGGGAAAGAATTCAAGATGAGCTTAGACAAGGAGAGGGGTCAGGTGAAAGTGAGGCAAATCAAATAGTCTTATAATTTTAATATTATTATGGAATGCTAGAAGTCTAATTGCTAATGGTCAAGAGTTTAAAGGTTTTATTAGTAGATTAAATGAGAAACCAGATGTAATTGTCATGTAGTGATGAGGTGGTGAGGCAGACGCTGGAGGCCCAGGTAAAGTGAGAGATGAAGATTTAATGAAAAAAACAGTCCAGAAAACACAGTCAACGTAGTCGGCGGCCAGGCAGCACAGCTGAGCAGAAGCCAGGGCTCAACACCAGTAGCAACTGGTCTAACAGGCGGATAGAGAAATAACGGCAACACAGAGCGACAACAAACAACGACAAGGACCCGACGAGGAACAAAGGACACAGGAGGGACTAAATACACTGAGGGTAATCAGGGGGACAAGACACACCTGGGAACAATCAAGGGGAAGACAGGACAACGAGGAGACTCAGGACACAGAAACTCAAATAAACAAAACAGAAAAACACGAAACATGACAGTAATATGTATTCAAGAAACTTGGTTAAAACAAACATTACAGTATTAGTGCGTATTCAATTATATGAAGAGATAGAAGAAACGGAAATGGAGGAGGATGTACTATATTTATAAAAGAAAAGATAAAAATTGTGAAGATACAATTAGATACGGAATTAGAGATTAATGGGGTTAAAGTGTGGACAAAACATGGAAGTATAAAAATTATAAATTATAACCCTTATAAGAAAATAGATAAATTAAAAATAGAAAATATATTTAGGCATAGGGAAGAGAAATTAATATGGTGTGGGGACTTTAATGCACACAGCACGTTATGGGGTGAGAAAGATGATTATCATGGGGGATTTTAGAAGGAATTATTGAGGAAAAAGAATTGGTGGTGTTAAATAATGGGGAAAGAACTCGGTTGGACATGATTAGTGGTAAGGAGTCGGCTATTGACCTTACTCTGGTGTCTCAAGGTATGGCAGATAGTTGTAATTGGAAAATATATAAAAATAGTACAATAGGCAGTGATCATTATCCAATATTTATTGAAGTTGAAATAGAAGAAGAACAAGTAAATAGTCAAGGAAGATGGAGGTTTAGAGACACTGATTGGGGAAAATATAAAGTTATGAGTGAAGATAGGTTGGTAAATATAGATATAAATAAACCAATAAATGAATTAAGTCTAGAAGTTAGTAAGAGTATTTTTGATATAGCAAAAGAAGTAATACCAAAAAGTAAAGGGTTTAAGAAGAAGAGAATAGTCCCTTGGTGGAATCTAGAATGTACAATGGCAATTAAAGCAAGAAATAAGGCTTTTAAAACACTTTAAAAAGCTATTTGCTTCCAAAATCTAATTAATTATAAGAGAAAACAAGCAGAAGTTAGGAGGGAGATAAGAAATGCGAAAAAGATTTATTGGGGTAAGTATTGCGAATCAATACTTAGTACAATATATAAAAATATTGTACTATTTTTATATATACTCTATCTATCTACGTTAGATAGAGTATAGAACACAATCAAGAAAATGTCAGGAAAATCAAGAGAACATATTTTCCTGTAATGTAATGACAACATGATTATTGATAATAAAGATAAGACTGAATTATTAGTTAAAGTTTTAGCTAAAGTACATAGTAATGAAAATCTTCGTAATAAAGAGAAAGAAGAAAGGGAATTAATGTTGAGAAGATATAGTGAAAGGATAAATGAGGATATAGAAGATAATGATACTATAAATATGAAGTTTTCAATGATAGAGTTAAAAATTATTAAAGAATATAAAAAATTCAACACCTGGGGAAGACCAGATTAATTATATTATGCTTAAAAATTTGAGTGAAAAGTGTAAAATAGTATTACTAGAATTATATAATAAAATATGGGAAGAAGGAAATTTGCCAGATAAGTGGAAATAATCAATTATCATCCCTATTTGTAAACCAGGTAAAGATCCACAGCTAACTGAGAGTTATAGGCCAATAGCTTTAACATCTTGTATTGGAAAAGTAATGGAGAGGATGGTGAATAATAGGTTAATTTACTTCTTAGAATCAAAGGGGAAAATAAATTCGTATCAATTTGGTTTCAGGAAAGGAAGAAGTACAACAGATCCTATGGTACATCTTGAACATGAAATTAGAAGAGCACAGGTGAATAAAGAGGTTTTAATGGCAGTTTTCCTGGATATTGAGAAAGCATACGACATGTTATGGAAGGAAGGATTACTGATTAAATTTAGACGAATAGGGTAAAAAGGAAAAATTTATAAATGGATTAAAGATTTTTTAACTGATAGAAATATAAGAGTTAAAATAGGAAATGAAATAAGTTCAAAATATTGAACTGAAAACGGTACTCCTCAAGGAAGTATTATAAGTCCCATGTTATTTATAATAATGATTAATGATATTTTTAGTAAAATTGAAAAAGAGTTTGGAGTGACTCTATATGCGGATGATGGTCTAATTTGGAAAAGAGGGAAAAACATAAAGTTTATGAATAATAAAATGCAAGAAGCGTTATGTAATGTAGAAGATTGGGCTATAAAATGGGGATTTAGAATTTCAATTTCAAAATCCAAATGTTACCTTTAATAATAGGAGAGAGTAAGTACTAATGTAAGGTTAAAAATGTATGATAAGGATGTGAAAGAGTAGATCAGTTTAAATATTTAGGAGTATGGTTTGATAAAAAACTTACGTGGAAAATGCATATTAGTAAAATCATAGAGAAATGTAAAAATGTTTTAAATATTATGAGATGTTTAAGAGGCAAAGACTGGGGAGCTGGTAGGAAAACATTGAAAATATTATATATTGGACTTATTAGATCGGTAATTGATTATGGGTGTGTTGTATATAATTCAGCCTCAAATAGTTTATTAAAAGAAGTAGATAAAATTCAATATCAAGCGTTAAGAATTTTCTAAGGGCAATGAAAACAACACCAGTGTCGGCATTACAGGTAGAAATGGGAGAGATGCCACTGGAGTTTAGAAGGAAACAACAACAAACAGTGCGACTAAAAGGAATGAAGTTGAACTTAAAGTTAAGTTTAGCAAAAATGAGATCAGAATATGAGTAAAATGTACAACAAGAAGAAATGGCAGGAACAATGGGAGGGTGAAAGGAATAAAGATTTTATTATAGTATTCAAAAAACAGTTGGAGAATGTAGAAAAGAAAATAGGAATAAAAAAGAGGAGGATATTATATCTAGGTTAAGATTTGGACATACGAGGTTAAATAGCACCTTGAGAATAATTAATAAGCGTAGTACGGGGTTGTGTAATGTTTGTGGGAATTAAGAGACAGTTCAACATATTTTTATGGAATGTAATAAGTATAATCTGGAAAGAGGGAAATTAACTGAAGAGTTAATTAGAAATAAAGTTAAATTAGATATTAGGACCTATTACAAAAATCGTCCGGGGATTTGGTTTTTAGTTATGTCTTTAGATTTCTTAGAAGCACAGGTTTAATGGGGAGATTGTACAGGATATACATCTGGTCCATACTCCAGTCCAGAAGGTGGCGCTAATGCACCTAAAAGTTGTTTGCCAACCGCCATTAAAGAAACAGAACAAGGCGACCTGCGATGTCATCAGTTATGCAGCACATTTACTTTCAATTTGAATTCACTGCAGTCGGGTTGTTGAGTCAATTTGTTGTTCATTTATTCTTCATCAACTCTTCAGATCATGTGAAGAAACGGTAAGTTTATGTTTTATATTTGGTCTTTGTCTTCAGGAACTTTAATTTTCTGTGTAATCTGTTTAAGATTCACTTCTGCTTTCAGCTCAAAGTTTCATTTCTGCTGTTTGAAAATTAATCTGCAGGATCATTAGATTACAAATTAACTGAAATCAAACAACATGATGAATATCTGATCTTTCTTTGTTTTCTCTGAACAAACTGCTTCATGATTTTATTTCCAGGAATCAAATTTTGATCAGAACAGTTTCCTGCTGCATCCTTTCAAAATAAAAAAATATAGATATTATTAAAAACTATTAATGTAGAAATGTGTTCAGTTCAGTCAGATTATCAAATAGTTAATCTTTTACGCTGCACATAATCCATTTGTAGAGATTAATAATTAACTAAATTCCTTCCTGTTGTTCAGGTTGAATCAGTGAATGTAAATGTTGCTCCATGTCTCCATCTAGTGGACTGATAGTAGAAGTGCAGCAGCTGATGGCAGCTTCCTCTGCCTCTCTGCTGTCTGACTGCATTCACCTGACACTGATATGAAGCAGAGAAGAAGAGCCAATCAGAGGAGGAGCAGCTGATCTTTTTCCAGGACTAATGATGTAAAGGATGATCAGAGTTGATGTGCAGATGAATGATGTGTGTTTCCTCTGCAGGTGAAGCTAGAAAGTGTGTGTGAGCTGATGTGGATTCAGCAGCATGGATCAGTGTGAGGACAGAGAGGAGGGAGTCCCTCCCTCTAAAACCACTCTGTGTGGGGAAGATGAGAGCCAGAGCAAAGGTCAGAGGTGAGGTCACCATCTCTAACTGTCCACAGCCCTTTCACACAGCGTTCACTATATCAGGCCAGAACAGACGTGGTGATGAAGCTGCTGCTGCTCCTCTTTGCTGATTAAGTTTTAATTATCATCTTTCTGTCAGGATCCATCAGAAACGCAAACCAGAACCAGAACCAGAACCAGAACCAGAACCCAGCTGTGTGTCCTTTAAGAGCAACAAGTCAAAGGGTCGTATCATTAACTTTAAATCTCCTGGATCTCCACCATCAGAGAGGTGAGCTGTTTCTAAAAGTTTTAAGTGTGGAAACTGAACCAGTATGAATATCCCAGTTTTATTTGTTTATTTATATAAGTTACACCTGAAATAGGACGATCCCTAGTATGTCATTTCCTTTAACTTTAGCTTTGCATGTGTGTAACTCTATGTGTGTATTATGTATATACAAGCATACAAATAGCTAAGAGATGGAGGAAAACTCAGAATTATTTATTTTCAACAGGATTTCCAGGATACATTATAAAAACTCTCACTATAACACTCAGTAGAGGATCGCACATTGACACACACCCACATATTACAATCAATCAATTTTATTGATAAAGCACCTTCATATTGAAAGCAGCTCAAAGTGCTCAGTCCTCCTTATTATCCACATCATCTCAGATCTAATCATCAGAACATGATTGATGTCCCACATTATCCTGAAGACCTGTGTGGACAGAGCCTTCACTTCCACTTTCCCCAAGTTCTAGGACATTGTCTCCACCAGCATCAGATCTGCTGACAGTTTCTACTGTTTAAAGTGCAACATCAAACTTTTTACGTTTACTGACTGATTCTGGTTTTACTGGAATTCACAGGCATGTGAATTATATCTGCAGTTTTTAGATGTGCCACAGGTACAAAACACTGAAATGAAATGTCTAAATTACCTCCTTGTGTAGATCAGTTCTCCAGAGCCTTGCTCATGACCTCATTATTCCATTCAGATGTGGTGCAGCAGAGGCACATCTAAAAGTTGCAGGACATCGGCCCTTAAGGACTGGAGTTTGAGACTCCTGCTGTAATTCATCTTCCTGTTTCTAACTCCTTTGTATTGTGTTCATGTCATGCTCTGTTTTTCTGATTCAAGTATTTTTAGTGTGAATCTCTTGGTGATTTCCTCTGTGAAAACTGCTGGATGAATATTTCCTGACTTCCTAATTGTTCCTGGTTCCTCCACAGAGTGGACCAGCAGAGCTCAGAGGTTCCCAGTGGTCCATCTGTCCAGCACCATCAAACACAGCTGGACTCCATATTTATGGTCTGTAAATGTACAACTACTTTTTTATAGGTTCTGTTCACATTCATCTCCATGCTGCACTTTGTAGACCAGAGGACTGTCAGTCTGTCCAACATCCATCTTGTGTTTGGCTCCATAATTTCAGTCTCATGTGTCCATCTATTATTCTGTTCCAGCTGCTGGAGGAAAACATTGTCACTTTTGTGAAGAACGAGTTGAAGAAGATTAAAAAGGTTCTGAGTCCAGATTACCAGAATGCTCAGAGAGTCAGAGTGAGGATGAAGAGCAGAGGAGGAGCAGCAGAGAGGCAGTGATGAAGATCACACTGAACTTCCTGAGGATGATGAAGCAGGAGGAGCTGGCTGACCGTCTGCAGAGTAAGAGGATTTCTACAAAAATTAAACCAGATGGATAAATCAGACATTTACTGATGTATAAAGAGATGGAATCACATTTACAAACCTCTTCAAAATATAATTTTTATTTGTTCCTCATTTTTTTTATGTCTATTTAGAACATCCTGCTGCAGTTTGTCAACATAAACTTAAATCTGGTCTGAAGAAGAAGTTCCAGTCTGTGTTTGAGGGGATTGCTAAAGCAGGAAGTCCAACCCTTCTGAACCAGATCTACACAGAGCTCTACATCACAGAGGGAGGGACTGGAGAGGTCAATGATGAACATGAGGTCAGACAGATTGAAACAGCATCCAGGAAACCACACAGACCAGAAACAACAATCAGACAAGAAGACATCTTTAAAGTCCCACCTGGAAGAGATCAACCAATCAAACAGTGATGACAAAGGGAGTGGCTGGCATTGGGAAAACAGTCCTAACACAGAAGTTCACTCTGGACTGGGCTGAAGACAAAGCCCACCAGAACATCCAGTTCATATTTCCATTCACCTTCAGAGAGCTGAATGTGCTGAAAGAGAAAAAGTTCAGCTTGGTGGAACTTGTTCATCATTTCTTTAGTGAAAGCAAAGAAATCTGCAGCTTTGAACACTTCCAGGTTCTGTTCATCTTTGATGGCTTGGATGAGAGTCGACTTCCACTGGACTTCCACAACAAGGAGATCCTGACTGATGCTACAGAGTCCACCTCAGTGGATGTTCTGCTGACAACCTCATCAGGGGGAAACTGCTTCCCTCTGCTCTCCTCTGGATAACCACACGACCTGCAGCAGCCAATCAGATCCCTCCTCAGTGTGTTGGCATGGTGACAGAGGTCAGAGGGTTCAATGACCCTCAGAAGGAGGAGTACTTCAGGAAGAGATTCAGAGATAAGAAACAGGCCAGCAGGATCATCTCCCACATGAAGAAATCACGAAGCCTCCACATCATGTGCCACATCCCAGTCTTCTGCTGGATCACTGCTACAGTTCTGGAGGATGTGTTGGAGACCAGAGAGGGAGGAGAGCTGCCCAGAACCTGACTGAGATGTACATCCACTTCCTGGTGGTTCAGACCAAAGTGAAGAAGGTCAAGTATGATGGAGGAGCTGAAACAGATCCACACTGGAGTCCAGAGCAGGAAGATGATTGAGTCTCTGGGAAAACTGGCTTTTGATCAGCTGCAGAAAGGAAACCTGATCTTCTATGAGTCAGACCTGATAGAGTGTGGCATCGATATCAGGTCAGCCTCAGTGTACTCAGGAGTCTTCACACAGATATTCATAGAAGAGAAAGGACCACACCAGGAGAAGGTTTTCTGCTTTGTCCATCTGAGTGTTCAGGAGTTTCTAGCTGCTCTTCATGTTCATCGGACCTTCATCAACTCTGGAGTCAACCTGATGGAAGAAAAAACAAGCATCTATTAAATCTTCATTATTTAATATACTTCAACCAAAGTCTCTCCATCAGAGAGCTGTTGTCCAAGCCTTACAGAGTCCAAATGGACACCTGGACTTGTTCCTCCGCTTCCTCATGGGACTTTCACTGCAGACCAATCAGAGACTCCTACAAAGTCTGCTGAAAAAGACAGGAAGTAGCTCACAGACCAATCAGAAAACAGTTCAGTACATCAAGGAGAAGATAAATAAGAATGTGTCTGTTGAGAAAAGCATCAATCTGTTCCACTGTCTGAATGAACTGAATGATCGTTCTCTAGTGGAGGAGATCCAACAGTCTCTGAGTTCAGGAAGTCTCTCCACAGATAAACTGTCTCCTGCTCAGTGGTCAGCTCTGGGTTTCATCTTAGTGTCATCAGGAAAAGATCTGGATGTGTTTAACCTGAAGAAATACTCTGCTTCAGAGGAGGTTCTTCTGAGGCTGCTGCCAGTGGTTAAAGCCTCCAACAAAGCTCTGTAAGGACACAGAATGTTACTGTAGTTATTATTGATAAAAATCTGTCAATGATGAGATAAATATTGAGTCATGATTTATCAGTTTGTCTCCTCAATGTTGGCTGCAAGCAGATGATGAGTAAAAGAGAGACTGGCTCTCATAGGTGACAATTCATAATGCTACATGTTCAAGCAGTAGAAATTATTTTTCCTATTGAAGCCGACACTGGATTAACGCAGCTCATTATAAAAAATGTATCTTTTTCTTTCCAGCCTCCTTGATGGCTGCTGTACTGCAGTATTTTAAGACTGAAGGCCCAAGTATAGAATAAATCATTTCATAGTACATGTATCATAACTATGTGGACAATATATTTTTTCAACCTGTGTAAAAAGAAAATTGTTGACTGGAATAAAAAGCATAATTTGAAGTATTATTTAATATTTTCCTCCCTGTCTCCTCAGACTGAGTGTCTGTAACCTCTCAGAGAGAAGCTGTGAAGCTCTGTCCTCAGTTCTCAGCTCCCAGTCCTCCAGTCTCAGAGAACTGGACCTGAGTAACAACAACCTGCAGGATTCAGGAGTGAAGCTTCTCTCTGCTGGACTGAAGAGTCCAAACTGCAACCTGGAAACTCTCAGGTAAAATGTTCTCCATCCTGGTGAAACCAGATTTCTGTTTATTACATTTTATCAGTTTGAGCCCCACAGCCTGAATCTGATGACCAACTGCTGCTTTATTTATTCGTCTCTCTTTTATTTTACCAAAACTACCAGAACCACTTTGGGTCCAGACTTAGTTTGAGTGTTGGCTAAATGAAGCGTCACGAAGCATTTCGACCCAGAGCAAAAGTATTGATACTTTGTTGATACTGTGTTACAACAAAGTAACACAGTATTTCCAATTCAGTAAAAATCTCTCCTGCTGGAGATTGAAAGTCCCTACAGGCAACATAGTTAACGAACTGATTTGATGACCATGTCTATACATAAGATTCACGTAATTGTATTTTATTGTACATTTGCATTATTTCTTATCTTCAATTAAATTCAAAATATATTTATATTCTTTGATACAGTCAATAAATAATGTGAACATGAACCAAGTGATGAAATTGTAAGTGAACGTATTTGGAACTGAGGATGCCTGTGCACTGTTTTTTTTTCTCCACAAATTTTCAGTCAAAAAAATGTTTTTCCAAAATTTGAAATTTTGTCTATTACACTTTTTGACACAACTTCTCCTGCTGTAGAATAAATGAAGTAAACAATACATTTATGTGAAATAATTGATCAAAAGCAACTGAGTAATTTATAGAATGGCTGAATACCTGAGTTTATCCAGGTGGATCTGGGATTCATTTTCATGCCTTAGGTGAATTTATTGAAATAAGACAGTTCTGAATGTTTAAAATATATTTGGAGGTTCATTCAATGTTGTGATATTTATAAATGTAATTTTAATTGTGGTGATTCTGAAAGTGTGTTTTCCATGTGTTTAGTGACCTTTAGTGTCAGGTTGGTGTTTTCAGATCTTTTTAATTTAAATACTGGGTTAAATTTCCCTATATTTAATGTTTGGCTCTTTTCGGATTGTTTTTGGAGAGTATTTGTATCTATTTGTTTCTAATTTTTCCCACATAGGTTTGTCATACTTTTTTTCTCAAAGAAAAGTATCAGTTTGTTATACAATTCTTTTATTTAACAATTTGAGTCTTGTTCAAAAGAATATTTTTTGTGAGATGCTGCTCAGTTTTCCAACTCTGTAACCAACAGTTAAACATGTAAAGATGAAACTGTAGATTTGCTCTGCTTTGATTCAAGCTGCTGTTTTCCCTCAAACCAGCTCTGATGCTGATCCTCAAACTGAGCCTGATGCTGATCTTCAGCCCAGCCTTGATTCTCAGGCTTCATTGGACTCTTTCTGTTAAAACTGACATGGATTCATTTAGTTCATAGAGGAATTTCATATTTCTCTTGCCAGCCTCCTTGTTGCCTTTAGTTCAGTCCTTCATGGCTGGAGACCCAAATATAGACTGAACCAGTTCACAACAAAAGGCAACATGATTATATATAAAACACTTCATTAAATCAGTAAAGAGGAACATTGTTGACTGGAAAAAACACATTTTAATAAATTCTTTAATACCATATTTTCCTCCCTGTCTCCTCAGACTGAGTGACTGTAACCTCTCAGAGAGAAGCTGTGAAGCTCTGTCCTCAGTTCTCAGCTCCCAGTCCTCCAGTCTCAGAGAACTGGACCTGAGTAACAACAAGCTGCAGGATTCAGGAGTGAAGCTTCTCTCTGCTGGACTGAAGAGTCCAAACTGCAACCTGGAAACTCTCAGGTAAAATGTTCTCCATCCTGGTGAAACCAGATTTCTGTTTATTACATTTTATCAGTTTGAGCCCCACAGCCTGAATCTGATGACCAACTGCTGCTTTATTTATTCGTCTCTCTTTTATTTTACCAAAACTACCAGAACCACTTTGGGTCCAGACTTAGTTTGAGTGTTGGCTAAATGAAGCGTCACGAAGCATTTCGACCCAGAGCAAAAGTATTGATACTTTGTTGATACTGTGTTACAACAAAGTAACACAGTATTTCCAATTCAGTAAAAATCTCTCCTGCTGGAGATTGAAAGTCCCTACAGGCAACATAGTTAACGAACTGATTTGATGACCATGTCTATACATAAGATTCACGTAATTGTATTTTATTGTACATTTGCATTATTTCTTATCTTCAATTAAATTCAAAATATATTTATATTCTTTGATACAGTCAATAAATAATGTGAACATGAACCAAGTGATGAAATTGTAAGTGAACATATTTGGAACTGAGGATGCCTGTGCACTGTTTTTTTTTCTCCACAAATTTTCAGTCAAAAAAATGTTTTTCCAAAATTTGAAATTTTGTCTATTACACTTTTTGACACAACTTCTCCTGCTGTAGAATAAATGAAGTAAACAATACATTTATGTGAAATAATTGATCAAAAGCAACTGAGTAATTTATAGAATGGCTGAATACCTGAGTTTATCCAGGTGGATCTGGGATTCATTTTCATGCCTTAGGTGAATTTATTGAAATAAGACAGTTCTGAATGTTTAAAATATATTTGGAGGTTCATTCAATGTTGTGATATTTATAAATGTAATTTTAATTGTGGTGATTCTGAAAGTGTGTTTTCCATGTGTTTAGTGACCTTTAGTGTCAGGTTGGTGTTTTCAGATCTTTTTAATTTAAATACTGGGTTAAATTTCCCTATATTTAATGTTTGGCTCTTTTCAGATTGTTTTTGGAGAGTATTTGTATCTATTTGTTTCTAATTTTTCCCACATAGGTTTGTCATACTTTTTTTCTCAAAGAAAAGTATCAGTTTGTTATACAATTCTTTTATTTAACAATTTGAGTCTTGTTCAAAAGAATATTTTTTGTGAGATGCTGCTCAGTTTTCCAACTCTGTAACCAACAGTTAAACATGTAAAGATGAAACTGTAGATTTGCTCTGCTTTGATTCAAGCTGCTGTTTTCCCTCAAACCAGCTCTGATGCTGATCCTCAAACTGAGCCTGATGCTGATCTTCAGCCCAGCCTTGATTCTCAGGCTTCATTGGACTCTTTCTGTTAAAACTGACATGGATTCATTTAGTTCATAGAGGAATTTCATATTTCTCTTGCCAGCCTCCTTGTTGCCTTTAGTTCAGTCCTTCATGGCTGGAGACCCAAATATAGACTGAACCAGTTCACAACAAAAGGCAACATGATTATATATAAAACAGTTCATTAAATCAGTAAAGAGGAACATTGTTGACTGGAAAAAAGATATTTTTATGAATTGCTTAATAACATAATTTCCTCCTTGTCTCCTCAGACTGAGTGACTGTAACCTCTCAGAGAGAAGCTGTGAAGCTCTGTCCTCAGTTCTCAGCTCCCAGTCCTCCAGTCTCAGAGAACTGGACCTGAGTAACAACAACCTGCAGGATTCAGGAGTGAAGCTTCTCTCTGCTGGACTGAAGAGTCCAAACTGCAACCTGGAAACTCTCAGGTAACTCTGGGCCATCCATCCATCCATCCATCCATCCATCCATCCATCCATCCATCCATCCATCCATCCATCCGTCCGTCCATCCGTCCGTCCGTCCGTCCGTCCATCCATTCATCCATCTGTCCGTTCAGACCTTGGTTTCTACCTCAATATTCTCATTTTCTCATCATGTGATGAATTGTGTGTCTGCAGCTTATCAGGCTGTTTGGTCTCAGAGGAAGGCTGTGCTTCTCTGGCCTCAGCTCTGACCTCCAACCCCTCCCATCTGAAAGAGTTGGACCTGAGCTACAATCATCCAGGAGACTCAGGAGTGAAGCTGCTGTCGGCTGGACTGAAGGATCCACACTGGAGACTGGAAGCTCTCAGGTATGGAGGAACCTGCTGCAGGAGCAGAGAAGGTCTGATAGAGGAGGAAGAGGGAGAAATGTCTTTAGTCAGTCTGCTGGGAAACATTTAGTATGAAACTGAATATTTAGTTTGATAATTAAATATTTAGTTTACAGTCATGTCATTTATAAATGAATGATAACAATTTCAACCCATTTTATCTCTTATTACAGTTTAATAACTCAAATTACCTCTGGTAATTTTGGTTGTGTAACTTTTCAAACAGCAGCTCATTTAAACTATAAGAATTTTTCACATGGTTCTGAATGAAGCTGGGAAACCAACCCATCTACTGAACCACAATAACATGGTATTCAGAGCAGCAGGGGGCCAAATATAGCTCCATGTGGAACCAAGAGGTTGGAGAGAGAAAATCAGTTCAAACTGTTTCCTATCAGAGTTCAGTTTGTCTCTCTGTCTTCACAAACCAGGAGCATCATGGGCTGGGCGGGGCTTCCACTGATGATCTACTGAGGAAATACAAGAAGCTGATTGGCTGATGGACAGGAAGTTAAAATATGAAGATTAATAATATTATAAAGCAGATTTTATTGGTACTGAAGCAAATGTAGATTTTAGAATCAGTAGAAATATTTCAGTGAAAGGAAGATGAGCAACATCTAGAAAAGATTCTCTATGTTCAGAAAAACTAGTAGAGCAGGGCGTCTCAAACTCCTGTCCTCAAGGACTGATGTCCTGCAGTTTTTAGATGTGCCACAGGTACAAAACGCTGGACTGAAATGTCTTAATTTCCTCCTCCTTGTGTAGATCAGTTCTCCAGAGCCTTGCTAATGACCTAGTTATTATATTCAGGTGGTGCAGCAGAGCAACATGTAAAAGTTGCAGGACTGCGGCTCTCGAGGACTGGAGTTTGAGACCCTTGAAGTAGAGAAACTGATCTAGATTATGTAGCAATAGAGACAATAATAAATGAGCTGAAATTAACTGGAGATAATAATTATGAAAGTTAGATTAGAATCAGTTAATCCACATCAAATATTTAGATAATCCCAATGCAGATACAATGGGATGAAAACAGAAGACATGTAAATGAACAAACAGTAAAATAATACTTAGAGGAAACAAACTGATGATGTTTGAATGATGGAAGAGAAACAAGAACAGATGTTGATCCAAGAAATGGATCAGTCCTTGATTTAACACTATAGTGTCCAGGAAGATTTCAGATGATTGTGAAATGAGATTATTAGACAAATAATGTGGAGGCAGAGATTATTACCCAGTTTTCTGGAATATTCTCTTGACTAAGAACGGCTCACAAGAAAAATTAAAGAGTGGAGGGTCTTTAATGGAGCTAAAATATATTAATGAAAATATTGAGATTCTTCCTCAAACTGTCACATTATTCATCAAAGAGTCTGAGGAGTTCAGCATTTAGATTTCCATGATGATCCACTGATGGCAGAAAGACTTTAAAACCATGTTGGATGGAGCTTCAGACCAATCAGCACCAAGAAGCAAAGATGAGAAGAAAATGAGCTTCATGTTGGTCAGATGGATGTTTAAAGGAGGCGACGTCTGGAAAATAATCAAACATATAAATAAATCAGGAAAGAAATTAAATCCCTTGTTTTCCAGAAGGAGGAAATAAATCCAGTGAATGATGAGGAAAAAGCAGAAATGAGAGCAGAAACTGGTTCAGATCCAAAGTTCTGATAAATTTACTGAGAAAGATAAAAAGTCAAGATCAGCTCATCCAGAACTTCTGCAGTGGAGGGAGGATTACTTTCACAAGCCATTACTGCAGCTGCTGGATTCAGGATGCTGCTTCTTCTTCTTGGGCTCATTGTAAATGTGTGCAGCGCCACCTGGTGGTGCTGGTTGGTAGAGGAAGTGCTGAAAGGTTGGAGGTGTTTGTCAGAGGTGTGTGATGATGGAAGCCTCTCCCTGGTTTGTGAGTCTGAGCTCAGAGATCAAATCTTTGATTCTTGTTGAATCTTTGTTGAATGTGATGCAGCTTCTCCTTTTGAATGTTTGTATTTCTGGATATTACAGTGAGGCCACAGCAGGTTTTCAGCAGCAGGGCTGTTTAGTGTTTCATTCCTTCATCTGTGTGTGGGAGTGTGGATGGATCAGGTATCCAGGTGTTGATCAGAGTTTAGATTGATTGTATTTTAATGCTGATTATTAAATCAGGTGGAGCTTCCAGAAATGTTTCCTTAGTTTCCTGATGTCCTTTTAGGCTTCAGTGAGTTTCTTCAGGTTGTTACTGAGGGATTTCCTTTCTCCTCTCTGTTGGAGCTTTTCCTGTGTTTGGAGAAATGAGTTGTGCTGCAGCAGCACCAACTGTCCTTCCTACATCCACTGCAGTTTGCAATCCAGATGTTGGACTGTTCCTGTCTCAGTGGAGGACAATGTGTGTCTGAGAGACATGTAATGTCCATGTTTGCTGCTGAAAGAGACTGATGGTCTGACCCCCCTCCTCCTTTCAGGATGAAGCCTGCTGGAGGCCGATTCTTGACTCCAGGTCTGAGGAAATGTAAGTGTGTTTTTCATCTGATTCATGACAACAAAGCAGCTCACATTCAACCATCTTCAAACTGTCACATCACTCATTCAGGAGTCAAAGTGTCAATAAATGATCAATAACTGCAGCTGGATTGTGTTTGTTCTCCATCAGATTCCTGTCAACTCACCATCGACACAAACACAGTGAGCAGAAAACTCAAACTATCTGAAGACAACAGGAAGGTGACACGTGTGGAGAAGCTTCAGTCATATTCTGATCATCCAGACAGATTTGATGCTTTTCAGCTGCTGTGTAGAACTGGTCTGACTGGTCGCTGTTACTGGGAGGTTGAGTGGAGAGGAGAAGTTGATATATCAGTGAGTTACAGAAGAATCAAGAGGAAAGGAGACAGTATAGACTGTTTTTTGGACATAATGATCATTCCTGGAGTCTGATCTGTTCTGATCGTCATGGTTACTCTGTCTGTCACAATAACATAGAAACTGGTCTCTCCTCCTCCTCTGACTCTAACAGAGTATCAGTGTATGTGGACTGTCCTGCTGGCATTCTGTCCTTCTACAGAGTCTCCTCTGACTCACTGATCCTCCTCCACACCTTCAACACCACATTCACTGAACCTCTGATTCCTGGATTTGGGTTCTTATGGTTCAGTTCTGGTTCTTCAGTGTTTCTGAGCTGATTTGAATCTAAAGAGTCTAAAGTTTTTCCTCCTGTCAGAGAAACTCTCTCACTGTTGAACAGATAGTTCAGTCTCTACAATCTATTTCTTGAGAAAACTCCAACAAGATTCCTTGGAAATTTCTTCTTCTTCCAGTCCTTTAAAGATGGAAGCTGGGATTATTCCAGGTTGTTTTTCTGTTTCCAGTCAAAGATTATTTTAATTTAATGCAGTTTTTCTCTATGTTCTTTAATCCATCTTGAATTAAAATGTTAAATGATCCTTTTGTATATTTGCTGCAGTTAAACTTCATGTATTTAGTGAACAATAAAAACTTTTTCTTCTATATTTTATTCATTTGCTTTTCTTTCTGTTCTGTTTCTGTTTAAATGTCAGTAACAGATTTTTTAAAATCTCAACTCTGACTTTCATAAATAACTTATTTACAGTAAAATATTCCCATCTTGAAACCAGTTGATGAAGGTCTGATGATGATGCTTTGATTAAATAAAATGGAGAAAATCTTAATATTTTCTGTTTCATTCAGAACGTCAACCTGGAAAACTAAAAATCTGAAATCAGTTTCTTGCTTATTTTATTTGGAGGAAGTACAGCAGCTTTACAAAAAATCTCAAACTCAGTCAGAAAGGATGGAAATTATCTATAAACATTTATTTTCAAGTCTGGAAAAAATTTTAGTAGGTTTAAGGTCTAGACTTTGACTAGGCTTTTCCAATCCATGACTATGTTTTGATGTAAAACAAAAAAAAAAACTTTTTATAACACAATCAAAATCGTCAAGTTTCAAACAAAGTGTTTCTTATTAACTATGAACTAATCTGCAGTACTTTAATTTGGGGAAAAAAAATTAACTGTAATTAACTGTAAAAAAAAAAAAAATCGGATTTGGCCAATTGTAACAAAAAAATATTTATTTTGCTTCTTTTATTTTTGGCTTTTCCTCATCAATCATTCAAATGTTTTTACACAACAGAAAAACATTCATCATGTTTCAAATCAGATAATCAAGTTTTATAAATTTGCTTACAATACATTTAAATTCAGTTTTTTAGATTAATATGAAGAAATTAAATGAGAAATTTAATCCTTGTTTAGAGAGAAAACTCAATGAATTAACAAAATCTGAGGATTTGCATGATTAAGTAACAAGACGAAAAGTAATTTTTAATATATAAACTTAAATCCAAGAAAAGCACAAAACCAAAAATATGAATATAAAAGATTTAATAATAAAGGACTAAAATGTTTCCTGTGTTTATCAGAGTTTAATAAAT